GAAACAGGTACCGGGACAGGTCAAATCCCGGACCGTCCCGGACCGTGCCCACCCCTAATATCCTCTCTCATTCCCCAAACTGAGAACTTTAGCCAACAAGTAACAATCCAAATCACTTTATACAAGACTCAGAACCCATAAAAGAATAACAGCATACCCCTATTTCATAGCAAATGCACACACCACAATCAATGCAACTCAAAAGAAACCAAAACAACAAAAAAAATCAACCTATCAATCAACCAAAAATCAAAGAATCTTCAATCACAAACCAGTAACTAAAACTATACATCCTTCAATCAACCAAATCATAGAATCTTGAATCACATAAACCAGTAACTACAACTCTACATCCTTCAATCAACTCTGATCTCCAACCGAGAATCATCAGACCCGCAACTCTCGCAATCCGAAACAATCTCGTCAATACTCAAAGGAATACTATTCGAGAAAGTAAGGCTCGGCTTCTTCCTCGGCACCACCACAGGGTCCGCCTCATTATTCAGTATTTGCAAAACCCTCCTCATCGAGGGCCTCTCTGCAAAGTCCGGGTTCGCACAACTCAATCCCACGAGCAGCAGCCTTTTCATCCCAGCATGATCGAATTCTCCCCTCAACCTTCCATCCGCAGCCTGCACGATTTTACCTTCCGAATACAGTCTCCAAACCCAATCCACCAAATTCACCATCCTCTGCCCTTCCCCTTCCCTCTCGATCGGCCTCCTGCCACAAGCCAGCTCGAGTATAACGACACCATAGCTAAAAACGTCGGTTTTCTCTGTTGCTTTCCCATACTGGAGATATTCAGGGGCCAGATAACCCATTGTCCCAGCCGTGAGAGTTGAAACCGGGCTTTTGTCATGGTCCATGAGTCGAGCAAGCCCGAAATCCCCAAGCCTCGCGTTATAACCGGCATCGAGCATTATGTTGCTCGTTTTTATGTCGCGATGGATTACCTGCTGTTCGCATTCTCTGTGCAAGTAAGTCAGGGCCGAGGCAAGCCCGACTGCAATGTTGTACCTGTAGCACCACTTCAATGGGTTCCCATTTTCGACATTCTGGTACAGAACGTGGTCCAAGCTCCCGTTAGGCATGAACTCGTAAACTAGCAGTAATTCGCCTTTCTCAGCACACCAGCCCTGGAGTTGGACCAGGTTCTTGTGCCTTAGTCCAGCTATTATTGATAGCTCGGATAAAAACTCGTTTTTGCCCTCGTGCGTGTGTTTGGATCTCTTAACGGCAGATAACGTGCCCACGTCAACAAAATATGCCTTGTACACAGTCCCGAAAGCCCCATGCCCCAGAATCCTGCCCTGGTTGAACCCTTTTGTGGCGAGCTTCAGTTCCTTGTAGCTGAACTGCCTTGGCCCGGCCATGACCTCTGCTTTCAGGTTCTTGTCGTTTTTCGTGCCCTTCCATTTTTTCAGAGAGACAAAGCCGAAAATCACGAGGGATAGAAGAATAAAAGATGGACAGCCGATCCCGAGGGCTAAACTGAGCTGCTTGTGATGCCTGTTGCCGGAATTTGAAACCGGGATCTCTGGTTTTAACGGGACGGAGTTTTGGGAGACGTTGTGGGGGTGGATTCTTGGGCGGGCGGGCCGAAACCCTAGGGTTTGGAAATCCCAATTCTGGATGTAATGCCTCTCGGTGCTTCCCTCGGTAGAAGCGGAAAACCCTACAAACAGAATCTCCTTCAGATAATTGGAGAGATCAATATCAACGGCCAGGATCGGGCTTTCGGGCCGGAAGCTGGAGTAGCTCAAGAAAACATCCAATTTCTTTTTGTCGTTCGAATAATCAATCCAGGCCGTAATCACGTTCCCGCTCTTCAGCGCAATCTCTGTTGAATCTAGATTTGCGGTCTTCATCGAGATGAGGCTGTCGATGTCAAGGCCAACGTGGTTGTCGTCCGGGTCGTCAAAGTGCAAATCGAGGCGGGTGTCGAATTCAACGGCGATGAACCGATTGTTGGTCGATTGGGATGAATTGAAGAGGCCCAGGTACCCGCCAGAGCTGCCCAGTGCGCGGTCGTTCGGGGAAAGGAAGAAGGTCAGCCCATCCCCAAACGATGCCGAATTGACGTTGTCGACGGAGAAGGAGAACCTGGTGGAGAAGGAGGCCGTGGTGTTGGTCTCCGGGTCGAAGAATTGAACTGGGTTGTTGTAGATGGCCGACCCGGAGCTGGAGGACGGCACGGTGAGCTCGCGCGTGAGACCGACGACGCCGTCGCGGAGGTAAGAATCGCCGAGGAGAGTTAGGTTACGGAGGGAGAAGGATGGGAAACTGAGGTTCACATTTCCCGGCGACGCCATGGTCGAGATTATGGGGAAGATGAAGAAAACGAGAAGGTTTCTTGGATTCATGGCCGTCGATTTCACAATTATGCAGAGAGTTCCTTTTTTACTTTCTTTTTCCCCTTTTTGCAGATTGGGATTTCGCTTTTTTTTTTCTTTTTCTTTTTAATTTGTTTTTGTTTGTTCAAGAATGGATGAAAAGTGATTGAGGGTTTGATTATTAACTGTTTTTTAAGAACGAGGGGTTTATGGGTTTCATGGCGGTGGTGGGAAAATGGTGTTTAAACGGTTACTGGGGAATGGGCGCGTGCAGGGGTTTATCTGTGAAGAAGATCAAAAATTTGTGTGGCAAAATAATAATAAATAAAAAAGAGAAAAGAAAATAAAAATGGAAAAAAGTGCATAAATCTGAAATCGGGTTATGATATAGGTAAGGCTGATAACGGTAATATAGGATGACCAAAGTTTGGAAGTTTGGGTGTGCACATAAACGACGGCGTATTGGTGTTGGCTTGCCAATAGTTTTCTCATTATTTCTGCATAAATATCTTCACCAACTTGATCATTATTTGGTTTGGTATCTTGTATTTATGTTCCTGTATTATTCTTTTATTGCATATAACTGTGAACTTAATGTGAGTAAGATGATGATATTTCACTTATAAATTTATCTTTATCCAAGATTCATTTTCATTGACAAAATAATGTCAAGCATCAAANCGTCATATAATAGAAATGAGGCTAAATATTGTTAATATGAAAAACTGGTCAAAGCTGTTAATATGAAAGCAAAAATGTCAATTAAATTGGGACAGGCGCAAAAATTCAAAAGAAGCCGTTGTACAAATAGACCAATTCATATATGACACAAGCCAAAGAAGCAAAAGAATTCATATATCAATGAAATGATAATAATTTATTAAAATGAAATGATAATAATTTATAAGTTAATGAAGAAAGTGAAGGTGATAAGCAGGAGCCTTGGCTTTCGTTCCTAAAACAAACATCCTGGAAAATGGTGAAGCAATGTACGTAGTTCAGATACACTACTGAAATCTATGCGTGAAAAAAAGGTTGACCATTACCGCTCAATAATTTAAAGATAGAAAATGAAGTGCAATCACATGTTCATGGGACCGTTGCAAAAGTAATGCTATAAGATTCCCATTCACGAATCATCTTTAGACCTCTTCCACTTTCTTACACTCTCTTGTATATAAATAACTAGGAATCTCTGGTTGTGCATCGCAAAATTGACCCACAGTACCAAAGTATTTATGTTTAAAATTGATACTCCCAAAGTTTAAACAAATCGATCCAAAATTACATAAAAAGAACCATTGAAAAAGAACTTATTATGCTCACAAACGCACTAAAAACATTGATAAAATAAATTAATTATGAAGCAAAAAATTGAACCCACGTAGAACTGTTAAAACACAACTTTTAGTTTTCAAAATCAAAGATAATTGATCAAACATTATTTATCTGATGACCAATTTGTTGTAAAACCAATTATTAGTTTAAAAACTATCTGTTTTGCTTGTGTAATTAGTTTGACCATAATGGGCCACCAATTATCTCAATTTTCAACATAGATGGGCTCCCGACCTATTTTGTAATGGATTTTTTTTTTTAGATATCTGTCTAACTGTGTTAAAATTTTTATAATAACATGTCATCATCGAGAAACAGTGACTTAAAAAAATTTTCTCTTAAAGTCTATGCATTAAGATGTGCCACCAAAATTTTTTTTCCAGCTTTTCTTAGTGATTTCCATGCCTGCAAATATGGTCTAAAGAACATTTGCCCAAGACGAATCAACTTTTTCCAATTCAAATGGGTATGCTAGTTTTTTGTGAACATTTTTTGTATCCAGTCACACCCTAAAATTTCGCATAATCATTAGGCAGAAAATAAATATCGAAGAGCAACTCTACTCTGCTATGCAACTCATTTCAAAGTTTTGCGATAAATATGCTCTAACTTACATTACATTTTCGTATGATAATGTAAATAATATTGGGGTAATATAGTACTGAACTGTTCACTGTACTTCACATTTTTCTCAAATTTTATTTTCTTTCAAATTACTTTTTATTTTTAATTATTATTTTGACAAAATATACACTAATAAATGTATTTATTTTGTTAAATAAGTTAAAATTTTGAATTTATAGTTTTGCTAAAATTTTATTATATAACTATATATTTTATGTATAATAAAATATAGTGAACAAAATCAATTGGAGATAGACATTTATAGTAAATAAACTAAAAAAAGGAGGCCCAATATTGTACAGAACTTGAAATCCGAAGAGGGATACTTTTAGCCCTTGTTTGTTTGGTGGGATTGGCCAGGATATCCTGGCTTGTCCCTCAGTTATCCCACGTTTGTTATGAAGGATTCAAGCCCGGTATTAATGCAAGGCCCGGGATGAAAAAGCAATTAATCCCATGAAAATGGGATAAATCCATCCTAAGTTTTTGATGGAATTAAACTTATCCTGGAAAGTAACATGTCTGTTGTGCCCTATTTTTTTATTTTAGGACTATTTTAACCTTCGTAACTCCACTAATTACATCCTTACCACTATAAAAAGGTACTTTTGGCCAGAAAAGAAATTAGAATCGCGTACGCAATAATCCTAGCCCTAAAACAAGTTCTTCTCACTCTGATTTTCGGACTATTTTCGTGTCTTCTCACTCGGCGAAGGAAGTCCGCCCGACGCTTCTTGAAGAAGAAGCACAGTCTTCTCCGGTCTGCGGAAGTGCCATAAAGCTCCGACTGCGATAACGGCTATTGTACAGATGCTCACATCTGCTGGTAGAACTTTAGGATTTGCATCAATTTATTTGTTAATTTAACTTAATTTTGGTATGTACTCGGGTGTGAATGATGTTAATGCCACTTGTTATTGTCAGAAATATGGGGTCTGAATATGTGGTGAATTTTTGTTTACCGAGTATTCGCAAAAAAGTATTGATATTTTGTAGGGTTTGTCACAGTTTCTAGGGATTAATATAATTTTTTGTTAAGATTTTGAGGTTTGAAATCTATGCCGTATATAGAGGAGAAGAGCCCGTCGTCCTCGTTCAGTTTGCTCAAATTGGGAGAAGGTTGGGAATTAATAATTCCAATTGAAACTGAGGGTAAAATAGTACTTGACGACATAAAGATAAATTTTGTTGAATTAAATGATTTTTTTTAAAACAAAATCAAAAAGTTATCTCATACCTTATCACACGTAACATACACATCACTAAATTTATCCCAACAGTGCAATACCTCCATCCTTCAAAACAAACAAGGTCTGAGGCTAAGCATAATATAGTTAAATTACTTGTCTTTATCCAGTTTCCTACTCACCACATTTTCCACCTCAAAATGAACAAAACCCGATTTAACCAAGGACATAAGTGTCCTTCCAATTTTACAGAGATTTTTCATATTTGTGTGGGCCACACGTAATATCAGATGCAATATTTTATGAGGGATTACAAACACATATAGAGGGATGGGCCATATAATCATAGGAGAAAAATAAGGTGTCCACGTGTAAGAAATCTACCTTCCCTAACCTCCCTTTATTAAGATGTAGAAGAGGGAAACTGTTATCAATAATTGATGGACTTACCAAAATACCCTTGATTTAATTTTCTCTCTTTCTATTTTATTTTTCCGTGCAAAAACGATGTCGATTTTACTATCTTAATTGTCAAGATACTTTTTTTTTTCCAACAGAAAACCAACAACTATTATAACATTTTAAGAAGAAGTACAAGCAATCAAATGATTACAAACAAGAAAACAAATACAAACTAAGTTTTTCAACCAACTTAACTGAAACTAAAGGATAAAACAACACCTAACTGAAGCATAAAGCATAAATCTTCCACATGAGCTCTAGTCCTGACAGATATCTCTAAGTTACTGATCACAGCATGAGCCACCTCTTATTGTTCAGATAACACTTAATTAAAGTCCACCCCAAGTCCTTTGTCTTCTTGTAGCCAGAATCAGAGCTTCCTTTTGGTTCCAGTCCCCAACAAATACCTCCTGCCAACTATGCCTCTGCCTTTCAACATCTTTTGCCAAATAATGCAATGATATAACTCCTCCAACAGATATCAGAGCAGTGATAGTCATAGCAGGTTGTCATACCTTCTTGGAAATTAAAAATTATCTATTAGAGGAGCAGTATCCTTCAAGAAGCCTAAATCAGCAGTACCATAACTTCTTCTATAGAAATCCACTCCAACCATTTATTCTTTGCTCTCTATACCACATATTTTTCATGAATTCAATCAACTTTGAAAAGTCATTTGTTTCTTGCTTCCCAAATCCATTACATCACATAAATAGACAAACAACTCCTTCTTCCATACAGTTAGCTTTGCCAGAAGCACATACCTCTAACCACCAGCTCTAAAAGTACATGTTCTACTCTTCACGCAACACCCAGGAGATCCCACAAAGACAACAGATTTTTTCTATTGAGCATTTGAATAGGATATGATTCAAGTCTTCTACTTCTTTTCCAAAAATTTGACAAATAGCATATGTCTTAATCCCCTTGTTAATCAATTGAGCTTTTGATCTAACAAAATCATACCAACACCTCCACAAGAAAGTCTTCATTTTTCCTTTGATATGTAGTTTCCAGTTTTTCCTCCACATTCTCTTGATGATATCAACATTCTGACTGGAGCTTGCTCGAGAAGTTTCGACACCTGAGGCAGCAATAATGGTGTTATATCATATCTTAAATGGCACAGGGGTTTGAAAGAAGTGATATTGGGAATCCAAGGGGAATCCAAAACATGAATGTCTTGACCATCACCCACCTGGAACCTAGCCCCTAATCTTAATGATTTTCTAGCACTTAACCAAATCATCCACAACCAAGAATCTGTTGCTTTGGGTTTTACCTCCACCAGGTTATGATTTTTAAAATATCTACCCTTCATCAACCTACTAACTAAGAGGTTGGGTTTTGTAATTAGTCTCTACAACTGTTTGACTAAAATGGCCTCATTAAAACTATTCAAATCTCTAAAACCCAGTCCCCCAACCTCCTTAGACAATGCTAGCTTACACCAAGAAGCCTAGTGGATTTTATCCCTCCCATTTCATTATTCCCCCACCAGAAATTAGTTAAGTCTCTACAAATACTTTTAACAATAGACACAGGAACTCTAAAACAAGATATCACATAGGTGAGAATAGCATTAAGGACTGAAGTTATCAAAATCTCTCTACCTCCTTCAATTAAAAAATTGTTTTTCTAACTTTTGATTTGTTATGCACAAATTCACTTACAAACAAGAAGGTCTCTCTTTTTGATCTCCCAATTCCCAGAGGAAGTCCAAGATATTTGGCCGATCTAACTACAGAAAGTCCCAGACAAAATTTGGCAATTTCAGATTTAGTACCCTTAGGTGTGTTCTTTGAGAAGAGAATAGAAGGTTTGTCAAAGTTAACCAGTTTACCTGAATCATTACCATACTGGTACATAATATTCACTATAAGGTTTGAGTGCATAATGTCAGCTTTACAGAACAAGATTGAATCATCTGCAAAGAAAAGATGGGACACTACGAGATGCATACTTGCATATTATAATGCCCATAAAAAAACTAGCTAACCCAGCCTAGTTGACTAGATTAGAGAGAGCTTCTGAGACTAGGATAAACAGATAAGGAGACAAAGGGTCTACTTGTTTGAGACCTCTAGTAGGCTGCAATTATCCAATAATGCTCCTATTGACATTGAAAGACTAAGAAGCAAAACAAACACACAAGCAAGAATCCAAAAAATAAACAAATCACAAAAGCCCATTTTCCTATAAACCTTAGCAAAAAAAGTCCATTCAACCCTGCCACAGGCTTTAGCCATATCAAGTTTTAAAGCCATGAAGCTCTCTTTGCTTTCTCTCTTATGTTTAAGTCATGAATACTTTCATTAGCCACAATGACATTATTAAGAATTTGCCACCTAGGAACAAAAGCAGATTGGGAGTCAGAAATACAACTAGGGAGGACTTATTTCAGTCAATTGGAAATGATTTTTGCAATGATTTTATAAACAGAGGATAACAAATCTTTTTAAGAAAACAATAAGAACTCATGTGATTCTCCAAAACAAAGGATAAGAACCCTTTTTAAGGAAAGAAAGTCGACTGGTCATCAAACTCATGTCAAAAAAACCACCATAATATAAATAAAAACTTAATCATTCATAACAAACCCAATAATCATAAAAGGACTTACGAAAGAAATATTGTTCAAAACAGGCCACACCCGGTCGAAATACTAAGGCACGCAGGGTTTAAAAAACCAATAAATTAAATTGTTTAAAATTGTCAAATACCCAACAGAAAGCATAAATAAAACACAGTTGTATTTAAGTCACCACACCCGGGTCCCTTATTTATAGGGTTTTTAATGACTTTTTCCCCAAGATAAAGGATTTTCCTTAATAACCAATTACTCTGATCCCCCAAGATAAACAATATATAAACAACACTAGAACGGGATAAAATGTAATCCACAATTCTGAATAACTGCAAAATATAAATTGAATGTAGTTATACACAAGATAAACAACACATGTGTACTTTACATGCATTACAAATTTCAACCAACAACTTTGCGCACTCTAAAAAACAACACAGTATAGATTATGTATAACTAAAGTATAATTTGTGTATATGTTTACTACACTCCTTTGAACGGACGGGTGGACGAACGACTCGACATCTAAAGTGCGGATAGGTCCTGGCTGCTGTGAGCGAACTTCTTGGCAAGGAACGGTTAGGTTGCGACGTCGAACGGTGGCCGATTCACAGACTGAGTCCTCAGCGGTGATGGTGGACGGGGCTGCTGTAAGGAACTTGACTCGGCTGGGCCCGTGATGGCAGATAGTTTGCTCGGAGATCCGTCGGCGTCTCATGGAAGGGCTGTTCGGAGGACAAAGGGCGCTGCTTCTACTCGCGCGGACGGTTGCACTACTCGGGGACGATGGGTGGTCGCCGGAAGGCGGGTCGCGACTGCTTACGTCTAGGTTGTGGGGAGGGCGACGATGGCAGCACGTGGCCTTGAAGCTCACGGCTATGGCTGCTCGGAGGGGTTCAGGTCAATTTTTTGATGATAGATGAAGTTTTTGGAGAGATGATGAGAGATTTCTTTGGTGAAGGTGACCCAATTATTCACAGAGATGATGTTTTTTTTTTTTGGTGATAGATGAGTTCTTTATAGTAACCGAGATTTAGAAAGATAATGGGAGATTTCTTTTCTTCTTTTAAGTTGAGTGCAAAGGTGTTGGATTGACACGTTTCCCGAAAATCATGCAAGATTTTAATTGAGTGTATTTGTTGGTTGTTTTTAAAAACAGACATTGACCTTAATTAAATATAATTATACTAATTAACGGTATGTAATTGTGATGAAAAAAATCTATTCTCGTACAATTGATATTATTTTCATAAGGAAGTTTAGAGGGGGTAATTTTCTCAATTCTATAAAAAACCCGTTCAGATGATATCTTAGTTTTAGTTCAATTTTTTTAGGGTTTTGGACTGTGTGTAAACCATTGAAATCCGCAGACGGGATAATTTACAATTTGCCTGGTGATGGTAACGGAGTATAGTTTCATTATACAAATTAGTTTATTATCAGTATATGTACAATATATATATAGTATATGTAATTCTTAGGGATATATACAGTTATTGTACATCTTAGTTTATGTTTGGTATGTTAGTTTATGTACAAATTAGTTTGTGAATGGATGTTTGTTTTTTCTATTTTCAATGTTTATTCATAGTTTATATTTGGTATATTAGAAGATTTTTTTGAAAGCGAAATTGACAAATGACCAATTTATTGTTTTGGTATATTAGAAGATTATTGCAACATTTACTGAATAAATACCATGTTATAATATGTATATAAACTATATATATACTCTTATATTGCGTTTTTCTTGTATAAGCTATATATATACTTTTGTATATGTTTATAAACTTATATATACTTTTATATATATACTTTTATATTTTTAGTATACATATATTGCCTTCTTTTTGTACAAGACGGACACGGAAATATTTTTCCGTATATGTTGTGGTTATAGTGGTATATTTTTAGGATATATTGCGTTTTTTTTTAACATAACATGTTCGGTTTATACTTGGTTTATAAATTGTAACAATTTATATAAAATATAAGTATATATATAGAGTTTTCTGTTTTTTATTTTCCTATCGAATATGCAACCCCTATAAAAATAATTTTATTAATTTTTAAGTAGTATTAATAGATAATTTATAATAAAAACTAAAATTATTTTTTATTTTATATATGCAATATAGATGTCAAATCAAACCTCGTCGAAGATAATTAATTCGATACATTATATATGAAAAATTGATAACAAACAAAAAAGTAATAACTTTTTAAAATTGTTGGCTTTTTGTTACAAGCAAAGTTTAAAAAAATGGATATGAGTTGATATTGCATCCGTTTTTTATGGTAAACTATTTTTTCGCATTCAACTTGGATATGAGGGGATATTGCATCCGTTTTTTTTGGTAAACTGTTTTTTCGCATTCAACTAATTAATTCCGTGTCAATGCTAATCTTTTTTACATGATCGTATATGTGCAATATTTTCTGCTTCACGTAGCAAGCGTGTAAATTGCCCTTTAGAATTTGGTTTATTTATGAGGCAGGTCCCCATGGGTAGTATAAATGTAATAAAAATGGGATTGTAGCATTTCCCATAAAAATGATATGGTGTAGTTCACAAGGTAATTTCCTCTTTCTTTTTTTTTTTTTCTTTTTGGGTCACTGAGTAGGTTAGGCCAACGCTTCTTTGCCTTCATACCTGGGCCAAGTCCGATTCCATAAAAGACCTGGCCGTCCAACCGTCGGTTAAGTCCGACCTATTCCGGGCTGTTTATCCATGTCCACTGCTGAGGAGGTCGAGCAGATCTTATTTAATTAATTGTTGTTTGGCTTTAGCTATAACCCTAAACCCAATTGTTTAACTAATTAGTGTTGGCCTCAACAAAAATCATAAACCATGCATTACGAGGAATTGTAAGGGTAGGCAAAAAAACCGAACTTTCCGATCCCGAACCGGACCAAAATGGTTCCGTTCCGAAAAATAGGGTTCTAATCAGGTTTTAAAATTTTGATCCCGTTCTCGGTACCGAACCGGTTGAAACAATGTCGGTATCGGTTTTTAATATTTTTTTCCCAAACTGTCCCGTTTGTCCTGTTTCATTAATTTGTAAAAAATATTATATATATTTATATACTATACACTATTATTATATTTTATATTGGTATTATAATACTAATTATATAATAAACAATAGGTAATTACTTAGGGGGCGATTGTATATAATCTCTACAGTAAAAAAATCAATCAAAACTCAAATTTAACTCAACTTAAACCCAACTCCACTATCTCCAATATTATCAATATAATTAAATAATATCAACTAATCATTTTTACACGTCACATCAACTTTAATTCACTATTCATCCACTCACATAATTTTAACTAACCATCACTTCCACTCATTTTTCTCTTACTTTACATCAAATCAACTTAAATTATTTTATTTAAATATTATTTTAATATATCCACTAACAACTAACTATACCACCTTTTTTCAAAATTAATTATAGTTAAAAAATAAACTAAATAAAAACTAGTTGAATCCATAAACAATCACCCGGGAATCAGACTTCATTAGGCATTCTGAATTCAGAATTTGCAATATTAAAAGCCCAGGCCAAAAGATAAACAATTTGGCCTAAAAAATTAACTAGACAATTGGCCCAAATGTGAGATTACTTACGGGACTTTGCTGAAGAGCATTGAGCAAGCTGCCAAGCTCACTTTTTACATTTCAGAATTCAGATTCACAATCACAAACGATTTCACATTCTTAATTACCAAATTCCCAAATCGGCAGATCCCTATCGCGGCATCGCCAATTTTTTAACTTCATTTACCAAATTCATAATCTGTTCTAAAACTCCAAATCCAAAATCCCTAATCAAAAAATCAAGAACCCTAATTTTCAAATACCATGGACAAAAGTAAATCTTGCGTTGCATCTCCAGAAATTCATGTGATTGGAAGGTATGAGAATTAAAACTCCACCAGCATCAAGCAGTCTTCAAATTCCGTGCATCGGTGAACCTGCAAATATAAGGTTATTGTGATGATTGAAATTAGGGTGTTTTCATTTTGAGCTTTGGAGTATGTTTCATGTTTGTGATGATTGTAATGGAATTAATGGAATCAGACAATTCATACTCTTTGTTAGCTTGTTTAAAAAGACAATGTTTATGTTAGATATGTTGTTTAAGTGAATCAGTATGTCATTGGTTTAAGTGGACTTTGGAGTTTGCAGCATGTTTCTTTTTGTTTAAATATAAATACAAGCAGTACTTAATAGAATCAGACTACCAGTATTACTGTGGTTTAAGTGAACTTTGGAGTATGTTGTTTTAATGGATATTACAGAGCAATATTCAGTACTCTTTAGTCTTTGGTTTTAGTGAATGGCAGTATGATTTGAACTTTTATGGTATTAGTATGTTCATTGTTTGTTTTAATGGAATTGTTACTCTTTGGTTGACTTTTTTTTTGTTCTGTTTTTTACCCGTCCCGATCCCGTACGATACCGGTCCGTTTGGGACGGTGTCAAATCCCAGACCGCGTCCACCCCTAAGGAATTGGTCATTAATCACAATTTGTACAGTAAAGTTTATATCGATAGTTTTGGAGAAATTATATTAGAATCTCTAGATACTCCGACAGCTGAATAAAGTAATATTATGCTGGACAAGTGAATTTATTTTAATGAATTCTGAAAGACATTTTTTTTTTATACTGAGCTGACTATTAATTTTGTTGAATATATTTTTTATTTCATGAAATAATTTAAACCCATACATACGCCTGCCTTTAGAGCATCTACAATGCTTTGGGTCTCTTTAAAAAAATCACATGCTATGTAGGAAATAGACTTAGTCTATAAAAAAGTGTTTCACAATGCAATTAAAAATAGACCTAGTCTAGCTTATGTGACAATAAAAAAAAAAGACCAAGTCCACTATTGGGTCTATTTTGGACCCATGTGTAAACCTTACAATAACAATCATTTACTATTATTATATTTTTATTGGTTAGGTATTCTAGACCTAATACTTTTTTTTTGCATTGGAGAAATTTTGGATTTTTTAGCTTAGGTTTGTCCATATCATTGTAAACTTAAGTCTATTTATTTGCCACATATACAAAAAGAGACCCAAAGCATTATGGGTGCTTGTAGATAAATAAAAGAGACCCAAAGCATTGTGGGTGCTCTTTTTGTATATGTGGCATATAATTGGACTTGAGTCTTAAATGATGTGGACAGACTCAAGTAAAAAAACTTCAATAACTTTGCAATGCAAAAATAAAAATACTAGGTCTAGCATATATGTCAACCAATAAAAATGATCTAATATGTTTTTTTTTTAAAAGAATAATTAAAGTAGGAATAAATGATTAGTGTTTGGGTTTGTACTTGGGTCCAAAATAGACCCAAGTGTGAACTTAGTCTCTTTTTTTTTTATTGCCACATAAACTAAACCATGTCCACTTTTAATTGCATTGGGAAGCATTTTTATATAGACTAGGTCTATTTCTTACATGACATGTAATTTTTTGTCAAGAGACCCAAAGCATTGTGGATGCTCTTAGGTAAATAAAATAATTCTAAAAAATCATACTGAATGAATGCAATTTAGTAAAACAATCACTGCCTAGGTAAGAGTAATTATTTTCACATTAGCATGCCAAAAAAGATTTTTAAAAAACCAAGAAAATAAAGTAAGCCCCTATGAAAAGTTAATCCAATCAAGTAAAACAAAAATCACAGCTGTAATTGAAAAACCAAAAGGCAGAGAATGACAGCACCAAATCTCCCACCGCTAAACCTCTCCCCGCCGCTATCGTCCGCAGTCTGATCCGCCAGATCACCGTCTGGCGCATCCGCCGGGGAATCGGACGGAGCAGCCGGTGCCGGAGGCGACTTGTGATTCCTGGACGGCGCCGGCGCCGGAGCCAGATCCGATTTGAACAGCTCCTTGGGCAGCAGCACCTTGTCGAGTTTATAAATTGCCAGCTGCTGCTCGTTGACCAACGAAGTAATAATCTTGGCCGTCACGACACCGGTCTTGATGGTCACAGTGATTCATGAGCTCCTCTTAATCCCCCTTTAACCCAGTTTCGAATCCTCTCCATGTAATTTTTTTGCAATTATGCAACATAATCGCCACCTAAGTATACAANCAAGTAGCCCAACCAATCACAGTGACCTGATATAGGCGGTCAAAAAACCAAAAACAGATTTTTTTTTCACTTACATAACTATTTTAAAAAACGGTCCATTTGCGGCATCAAAATCAAAATCGAGCCGACTTAAGTGACTAAAAAATATTTTTTTGTCTTCGTATTCGGATTCGAATTCGAATCACGAATATCGAATTCGAATATCAAATCGAATCACAAAAAATCGATTTGTTTACAAGCCTATTGGTCATTACATCACAATTTGTACAGTAAAGTTTATATCAACTGTTTTGGAGAAATTATATTAGAATCTCTAGATACTCCGCTAGCGGAATGAAGTAATGTTATGCTGGACCAGTGTTTTCAATAACGTACCGTACCGGCCGGTAATATCGGATACCTGCCATTGGTACGGTACAATTGTACACAGAATATCGGATTTACGATTATACCGGTTTGTACCGGGGTCATACCGGAAAAAACCGGTCCAAAATACCGGTCATAAAAAAAAATTAAAAAAAAATATTAATTTAAAAATATAAAATTTAATTGGTAGTTAGAATATTTTATTTTTATCTCATTGGTAAGTTAAAATTAATGATTATGGTCATTTATTTTTTTTTACTTTTTTTGCATTTGGTATAATACATTTTTATATATAAATATATATATCATTATATTTGCTAATCAGGTAATACCACCAATTACCGATAATACCGCGTACCGGTGGCTAGACCTGTATGGCCACCGGTACGGTATTTAAAATACTGTGCTGGACTAGTGAAATTTATTTCAATGAGTTCTGAAAGACATTTTTTTTTTTATACTGAGCTGACTATTAATTTTGTTGAATATATTTATTATTTCATGAAATAATTTAAACTCATACATACGCCTGCGTTTAGGTAAATAAAATGGTTCTAAAAAATCATAGCGTATGAATGCAATATATATATATAATTACTAGCTGATACATTTAATAAAACCTATTTTCATTTTCCTCCAAAAGGAGTTACATTTTCTTTAATTAATTACTCACTAATCTGCTAAATCCATTACATTCAGAGTTATTAAATTAATTCTAAATTTGGTAACAAAATATTCAAATGTGTAACGGCTAATGTTGGAACTTAAAGTTGATTGGCACATTCAGAGCTGTAACCGTGATATTTAATTGTTGTAACATAGACAAATTTTATACATTAGTCTATTGAGATACAATGGTTCTTTATTTTACCTGCATATTTGTGAAAAAAAAAAATCATTCTTATTATTGTGTAATGAGTGATTATGATATTGAGTAATGACCACATATTTTTATAATGAAATAACACCATATAAGTATTTGCTTATAAGTGGAAAAATATTAGATGAAATAATCTAAACGTACATGATTTTATTTATAAATATATTTCAGTTTATATGGTATATAATATTTATGTTGTCCATTTTAAGTTTTTTGTTTTAGTTTTTTTATAATTGTATGTTTTCTATTAATATAATATTCAAAGAGTATAAAAATTAGATGATTCATTATATTCATATAATAGTCATTAATGTATGGTAAATCTCCATTTATATTGTTATTTATTTTTAGTTTTAAAAATCCAACTTAGAGTCTTTGATGTAATGATTCAATTATAAATGTGATACATAATATTAAATAAATTTTATTTTCATTAAGGTTTTTATATATAATATTTGTTTATCAATTTATTTTTGATTACTATGCACAGGGTTAATATTAGTTTAGTAAAACAATCACTGCTAGGTAAGAGTAATTATTTCCACATAAAGATTTTTAAAAAACCAAGAAAATAAAGTAAACCCCTATGAAAAGTTAATCCAATCATCAAGTAAAACAAAAATCACAGCTGTAATTGTAAAACCAAAAGGCAGAGACTGAGAATGACAGCACCAAATCTCCCACCGCTAAACCTCTCCCCGCCGTTATCATCAGTCTGATCCGCCGGATCACCGTCTGGCGCATCCGCCGGGGAGTCCGACGGGGAATCGGCCGGAGCAGCCGGCGCCGGAGGCGACTTGTGATTCCTCGACGGCTTCGGAGACTCTGCATCGGCTTCGGGACCCGGAGCCGGCGCCGGCGCCGGAGACAGATCCGATTTGAACAGCTCCTTGGGCAGCAGTACCTTATCCAGCTTATAAATTGCCAGCTGCTGCTCGTCGAGCAGCGAAGTAACAATCTTGGCCGTCACGACACCCGTCTTGACGGTCACAGTGCTGCCGTCGTTCTGCACCGTGAAATTGTATTTTTTCGCGCCGTCAGTGGCCAATGTGTTGAATACTCCGTTGCCCGATTTCAATCCCGCGAGCGATTCGTAGACCGGAATCCCGTGGTACTCGAGTACAGATTGCTTATCGTGTGTGCTCAGATTCTTATTATATTCCGGCAAGAATTTCTTCATCGCGTCGTCGCTGGGGCAGAAAACCGTTAATCCGCCCTGAACATTGTCGTCGAACGTCTGCTGAGCCTGCGGATTATCCCGCAGCGTCTCGGCGAAGATCTTGCAGTCGGTGGCCGACATGAGGGCCGTGAGATTCAGCGGCGCCGGCGCCGGCGACGGCGCCTCGGCCTCGGGGGAAGCGATGAGGGACGAGATCTGGATGACGGAGAGGTTGTACGGAATGGACTGAATGTTTTTGACGAAAGTGGCAGAGATGTTGGGAGAGTCGAGGGGCGAGAAGCGGACCTTGCCGCCGGTGAGGTCGGCGATGTTGACGAAGCCGGAGGATTCGGTGGCGGAGCCGGTGGTCTGGAATAGGGTGGTGATGTTGGCGGAGCCGTCGGAGAGCTGGTGGAGCTTCTTGGGGTCGAAGTAGTCGAGGAGGACGTGGAAGTAGAGCACGTTTTTTATGGTGGGAAGGGCGGGAGAGTTGGAGAGCAGGAGATTCATGGCGGCGTCGTCGACGGCGCAGACGGTGATTGTTTGTCTGCCGTTGATCTCGGCGGCGAGGTGGGTTTTGGTGAGATATTTATTGAAGAGGGATAAACTTGGGTGGCCGGCGAGGATGTGGGTGATGTTTTGGGCGTAGGCGGTGGAGGGGAGGAGGACAGAAAGAGAGAGGGATAAGAGCACCGCCGCCGCCGCGGCGGAGAAGGCGGAGGGCCGGCGGAGTTGCATTTTTAGTGAGAGGAGTGGGGAACAGAATTTAGGTTTTTTGGTGAAGACAAAAAAATGTGGATATGTGGTATATGACTGAGTGGGGAGTTTAATTATAGAAATGACTTAGAAATTTTGGGTTAATTACAACTAATGCCACTCAGATGTTGTGACCGTTGGCCGTACTGTTCGTAGATGCGCATGCTTAATTGATACCGTTAACAAATAATTATTATTCAATTCTCGGTACATATGTGTAAATTAAATATATAAATTATGTGTTTGTGATATTAAAATCATAAGTTAGATAATTATTATATTATATTTTATAAATTTTGTCATTCGTAGACTTAAATATAAACTATTTTACTTACATGTGAATTTTTATATTAATTGCAATGACATAATTCTGGCAAAATTGGATCAATTAATTACATAAAAATAAATAAATAGAATTTTAAGTGTTCTATTTATGCCATAAATAATATTAACTAATTAAAAAAACTTGTTTAATGAACTAAAAAAACAAGAAACGAAATTTTAAACAAATAATTTGAAAAAAAAAAAAATTAGAATATAACATAATTTAATGTGAGTTTATAATTAGTTAGTAGAAACCATTATGTAATTAAAAAATATACTGCTTCATTAATGCAAATTGTACCGGAAAAGAGTGGAAAAACCAAAATAATTGTCATTAATTTTTTTGTCACAAACATATGATATAGATATATTTTACTCAATTTCGTTTTAGTGAAAAAATAGTATTTTGTGTTTTAAATATTATTTTAACATTTTCAATTATTTGATATTTTAGATTATTATATGATTTATCTTATATAAAAACATTTAAAATAATATCATAATTTTAATTTACCATGATTTTAATTCTCTAAGTATTACTATATGAGAAATACATACATATATATCTGACAAGATGTATTTTGAAATAAAGGGAGTTCTGTGTGGGATATTTATTCAGTCTATTACTGTGGTATGGTTACAATTTTTACACTCGCATAATTAGTTTATCACATTAGTACAATAACCTTTAATAAAATTAAAATATATGATAATTTCGGTTGTCCATTGAAATTTTGGATAGATGAGCTTGTAATTTGAGGATTTCTGCCCAAAATCACTATTAGTTACCATTTACCAAACCTATTTCGTACAAAATTATGAAATTAAAGTTGATAAAAGCAATTTCTTTTCGTAGTTTTTAAAAAAAAAAAAATATAAACTGAGATATGATATTTCAAACACAATCTCATAGTTAGACTTAGCAAAGCATAAAGGTAGCTTTTGTGTTGTCTTATTAGATGGGAATCGGGATTTTAATTTCGTTAGAATAATTAGCGGAGTAATTATTACTTAGAACTTTTTTGGTTTGTAGCTGACTAGCTGTACAACGAGACTGTGGACAGTATGGATGCAAACAAATAGGGATGTAAAACGACGTCGTTTTTAATTACTTCCCAACCTTATTTTTTCTTCTAATTTCTTTTACGGGAGATGTCCCACCTTATATATTATTCCCATGCACGCATGGACATAAAAACATCATACGTACGTTATGTTGTTTTTCTTTGCTAATACGCAACGCATTGTTAGTAAGATTACTAGCAAGTCTTTCTAATGAATTAAAAGTTCAAATGAAATTATTTTTCGCATAATACTAAAAGAAATATGTTCACAAAATTCAAGTTTTGTTACAGTCTACTGTGCAGAAATAAAACAGAAAAGGTCTTAATTTGCGCTCCTTTATTATTTTATGCGAGTGGTATTTTTCTGTGCAAGTGAAAAACGGAAAAAAAATCGGGGCAGCGAGATCTTGTCATCTAACCTATGCGTAACTCCCGCCGCAAAATCATGGCAAAAGAAGGCACCACCAATATTTGTACTATTATTAATTATCACAGAATGAAAATAGTCCAATTGAAAATGGTTGCATACTTAACGTTTACTTTATTTCCTCNCATTTATAAAACGAATGAAGGGGGATAAATAATTGGGCAATTTTTTACCCAATGTATAAATGATCTTTTTTTTACACAATTTCCCATCAAAAAACATCTTTTTCAACTTAAAACTCACAAAATGATATGTCATATACAAATCACATATCCAAATAAATCGAATAATTAACAATTATTTGAGATATCGTCGTATATATATCAAGGCATATCTGAATCAGAAGGATAGATAAATATTATGTGAAACACTTCCGCATATGTTGTAATCGCATATCAAATTCACCGCATAATTGACGATATATAGTATGGGATCAGTCCGATCGGATATTCAAAATTGATAGCGACATGCTTTATCATTGTTTACGGCTCGCATATCCAAATCCACCACATCTATATCTATATTTATATAATAGACCAATCCTTATTGCCATAATTGGCATGATTTTGGGCGGAAAATTTTTTCGTCTATATTTGGTATTTAATTAATATTTATTTATTAGCAAATCTTATACATGAAAAACATAATTAATTTTTATACACTCAATGACTATTACCATTAACTACAAATTGACTTAAATTGAAATTTTGACCGTAGATTTATTAGATATATTTTCAATAAGATCTTATGATAATTTAATAGCAATTAAATGACACAATTCAAAAAATTATTATGAAAATTGATTTGATTAAATATATTATTATCTATGGTTGTAGGTATTAATTTAATTAATTATATTCACTATTCAGAAGTATTTAAAATATTTAATAAAATAATCAGATTAACAATGTTTAAATTATTATAACTTAATAAATAATTTAAAATATGAATAAAAGTTTCTAAAATATAGTCAATTTAACTATAAAATGTACATCCCCATTGAATATATCATTTGCAGTGATAATACTATTGAAAATTTAAATAATATACTAATAAAAATAAAATTTGATAGTCGGGCGTAATTCAGAATTATAAATTTAAAGTATCTATGTACATTAAAAAACTATTTAATTTTTAAAAATATATTTTTTTTTCTCATATACTATTTTATAAATGAAAATTAAGTTAATAAAAAATCAATGTATAATACTTTAAATTATAGCACTTGGTAATTATGAAAATATAAATATATCTAAATATTCGAATAGATACTATGTAACTCATTATATAGGTTAAAAAAATGAATTAAAGAAATAAATATAAATAAAAAATGAAAACATAAAAATAAAATATATGACCATAAAAAATTTGTGTATTGCATAAGGATTAAAGTTACTAAAAATTGTGTATTGCACTTAATAGTTATGTTGAAGATAAATATTATGGGTTAAACGTTGGTCAATTATCAAGCAATGTGCAAATTATGAATTGTTGAAAAAATTATAAGACTAATAAACGACAATTTTGTAAGTACATATAAGTAATTTGTATGCAAATATCATATGATCTTATACATTTATAATATTTTATAAACTTAAAAATATAATAAAGTTTATATATTAAATAGTCAAAAACTACAAAAAAGAATATAAAAATAGAAATTAACAATAATAGTAAATAAATAAATGTCATATTATTACTGAATAGAATATTGTGGAGAATATAATTTCATATTGTCTTAAATAATTTTATAATATTTAAATAAAAAATATGTTTTGTATTGCACCCCGTGCATCGCACGAGTATCAACACTAGTAATTTACTATATGCGATAACGTTTCAAATATTCTGTTATCGCATATCCAAATCAATCTCGCGTATTTTATGATTATGCGATATATTTTCACAAAGTTTACGACTTGCATATTCAAATCCATCGCACAATAACCATGTGCGATAAATTTTCGTATATTCTGTTATCATGTATATATCCAAATCGGACGCCGCATATATTAGGTTATGCGACATATTTTTGCATAGTTTACGACTCACATATCTAAATTCACCACATAATTATCATATGTCATAATTATCAATTATGTCCAATGCCACTCGTGCCAACTCTTCATTCTGCTCCTTGTCATAGGTGATCGACCTCTATGACTCTACCTCAATCTCCACAGGTAATAAAGCTTCCATGCCATACGTCAAACTAAACGGGGTTTCGCCTGTTGTCGACCTCGGGGTGGTCCTATATGCCCAAAGCACAAGGATAAGCTCATCGACCCACGCCCCCCGAAGCCTTCTCCAATATAGCTTTTAGTCCGTTTAGAATGATCATGTTCGTGACCTCGACCTACTGAAGAAAAATGTTGTTCAATCTTCATGTCCTCGCACCAGACTCATATCCGTTTGCCATTAAACTAAGTTCCATTATCCGAGATCAGAACCTTGGGGACTCCAAACCTGTAACAAATATTGTTGTAGAGAAACTATACGTCCTTGTCCTTAGTGATCCTTGCTAGCGGCTCTGCCTTCACCCACTCGCCCTGTCAACACTCCACGGCGGTTGCGGATTTGGAGCAGCACTGACTGTTGGGATCTGTGAGGATCTCGTTATATACAAATCACGAATTCAATAGCAAACGTAAACCTATGCGCAGCGGATCTAAAGGTTTGACGTAGAGAATTTACGGCTTAAAATTTATGTAGATCTGGCTGACCACGAACGGTTGACCGCAATTGATTGACCGCAAATCACGTCTTGGGTTGCACGAACAAGATCAGATCAAAATCGGATCAAACGGATGCAAACAGATCAAATTTTTGCAGTCAGGCTCCTTCAGGCGGCGCGTGAGGGCGCGTGCGGCATCGGAATCCGGCGACGTCGGCGGATATGGAAAGATCTCGTCGAGACGGTCGTCTGGGTATACTGTACGTCTCAATCGGACTTCCGGTTAGTTCTGTAGGTCAAAATCTATTTCGTCTCGGTTTACCTACAGATCTTCTACTGTATTACTCAATACACCCTTCTTCAACTTGTACCAGTGGAGCAACAAGAAGAAGATAAAGCTCGAATGAGATCTAGAGAGAGAGGCGTGTTTCACGTGAGATGTGAATTTACATTCCTTCTCATGAGCTTAATGATGTATATATAGAGTTACAGT